GAAAGTCAAAAGGGAAACGCGCAAGTGATGGCCAAGGCTTTGACAGAGGCGAGGCAGCTTGGCAAGGGCTTGATAATGAGTTGCGGGCTAAGGGTGACACTTGATCATGACTAAGGCATCAAGGCATGAGGCATTGAAGCCAAGGCAAGGCAAAAACGGATAGGCAAAGGCAAGCAAATGTGCAACTGGAAGGCAGTGCGCGGACGGACTTGTCGTGGCATTGAGTTGCGGCAAACGGGCCAAGTTCGTGGGCGATGGCAAGGCAAATTGTGGCACAATGAAGCTGGATACAATGGCATTGGCGCCTGGTCCAAGCCAAGGCACGAACTGGGGACTAGGCACATGATGCAGCATGTGTATGCACATGCTGTGCACATGGGCAGCAGTTAGCTTTGTCCTAAAAGCTGGCAGGAGTTAGCACGTTTTTGGGGGCCATGATCCCATTTACATTAGCATGATTTACATGATCCTAGTAGTTGGGGGTGTCAACTACACTAAACTAAAGTAGTGGGCTGAGTGGGCAATGGTTAAAGCCTAAAATTGGGCAACTATTGCAAACATGGGGCTGTTTCATGTATTATAAATGGGCAGCACCTATTCCCTTTGTGATATGAGAGTGAAAAACGTGTAAGAGTGCAGTTTTTGAGTTATAAAAGCTTCTCATTAAGGGTAGAATTGTAAGTTTAAGCTAAATTGTTACCAAATTTAGAAAGGGGTCATTCTTTTTGGAACAGACCCAAAAAAATAGATTCACATACAGTGTAAAGAGGGAGTATATTTAATGAAAACTGTGTGTGTGCGGGGGGTGGTGGGGGGGGGGGGGTAAGATTCAATGTGAACTCATATTTGGAGGTGTTTTTGCTATTTTTGGTCATGTCTAGTGCAACTTTAGTGTTGTAGTTTCTAGATTTGACATTTGCTAGTATTTCAAGTTAAATCTTTTTCTTTTCATAGTTCCCCTTAATTCTAACCGCCACAGTTTGTTAAGTATTGGATGAAGTCAAAGATACTCACTTTTAATAAACTTAAGGACGAAAACTGCTTATGAGTATATTTAAGGGGCTATTTTAAACCTATCCCAAACATAAGGGACCATTTTTGTCATTTTCTCTCTTTTGTTCTGCCAAACTCAAGAATCATCATTAATCATTTTTTAGCAAAAAGACTCATTAATCAGTGGATTAAAAGCCATGCCCCAATGATTAGATTAAGACAGTTATCCTTCTAATCAGTCTTCAAAGCATAATAACTAAGTCCAAGATTGCACTAATCTCATATGAAAGGATGGAAACTATTCTTATTTTATCATTGCATGAACTTGGTCCCACTTCTGAGTTGTCCATTGCCTGTTATTTGGCCCCAAGAGATTCCATATGGAATTATGGAATTCAATATACAAATTAATTATACTACTAAACATTCTTCCATATTCCTTATAACCCTTTCTAGTATAAATAAGTTCCCAACTGTTGGCACATTCTAACTGAGATCATCCTCAAAAGCTTCTTTTGTCAGTAGCACTTTTGAGAATATTTAGTGGTTATATTTAGTAAACCACATCTCATTCTCCCCTCCTTACTAGCCTTTCAATTTTCTTTTTTTTTTTTTAAAAAAAAACACAAAATGGAGTCTGTGGGAGCTTTCTTTGATGAAGAATGTCAATCTTTGAGCAGAATGTTCTTTACTGAAAATTCAGATTTAATGTTTCAATTGCATTGTGATAATCCATCAGACTTAACTTGGCATGATCAAGAAGCTAACAAGAATGTGACTGACAATACTAATACTGAAGGGAGTTTTTTCTCTTCTCCTTCTCATAGTCATAATTGCAACTTAGAGTATTTTTCTCAAGAAAATAGCAATGACAGCAGAGGAAGTGGTGGTATGCTTTTTCTCAACAATACAAGTCATGAGTATCTGCAACAGTATAATGGTGTTACTAATCTCTTTCAAGTAACAAACAACCACCCTGATGAGTCCACTGATTTTTACATGATGGGCCACAATAATCTTGAAAATTCATCGGTTAATCCATCGTTTCAAGACGACGATTTCATGAAAGAAATGGTCAGCTTGAAAGATGACATAGGTAAGGAAATGCTGCTAAAGAGGAAGTTTCATGAAGTAGAACTTCAATCAGGAGCTGAGGATCAGAAACTGGAGGACACTAAAAATCCCAAGAAGAAAACGCGGGTGTCAAGAGAGGTGAGTTTATTAAAAAAGTTTTAACTACAGAAGTTGATTGTCTTTGTGCTAGAATGTTGAATAGGGTTAATTATTTACTCAATACAGGAACCAAAAAATAAGAAGATTGCTCAGCCAAAAGTGAAAAAGAACCAGAAAAACATGCAAATTAACAATGAAGAAGTAGGAGAGCAAGAGAGTAATAATGCAGGAAATTGTAAGAGTGGACAGAGCACAAGTAGTTGTAGCGCTGAGGAAGATTCCAATGGTTCTCAAGAATTAAACACAAATTCTGACACTAAAAGCAACTTGAATAGTAAAACAAGGGCCAGCAGAGGGACTGCAACAGATCCTCAGAGCCTTTATGCAAGGGTAAGAAACATCAGCTTTATTCAATTATTGTTTCTTCAATCTGTTCAAATGTACTCTTCCATCTAAAAGTTCAACTTAAATACACTCATAGTTTAGATTTTTACACTATCATGTAACATGAAAGATAACTGTCTATAAAAAGTGAGACGTGGAATATAAGACAGGTTACCTACCTGCTACGACATATTAAAAGCAGTAGTGGTAATAACTGTCCATGTACATAAATTAAATCCTAAAACTAATATTTTCATTTACAAACTGCAGAAAAGAAGAGAGAAAATCAATGAAAGATTGAAGATCTTGCAGAATCTTGTCCCCAATGGCACAAAGGTAAAAAAAATGCTTTTAATTATCATATTACATCCCCTCGAAATTGCGTGTACAGCATCAAGAAACAAGAATCCTCTTACCGAGTTCTTTAATTGGTATAACTTAGGTTGACATAAGCACAATGCTTGAAGAAGCCGTCCAATATGTGAAGTTTCTGCAAATACAAATTAAGGTATAAAAACCAAAGTTTCTCCCCTTTTTTTTTTTTTCTTTCTTTCTTTATTATTTGATTAGATTGAAATCAGAAGGAATATAATGTTAATAACTAATTAAATACTTCCCACTTACTGCAGTTACTGAGCTCGGATGATATGTGGATGTATGCTCCAATTGCTTACAATGGGATGGAGATGGACCTCTCTCATACCTAGTTTATGAATTCGGAAGCAATAATATGCATGCCATTTGCTTTTAATTATTTACCTACAAGATATTAAGAAACCAATATGCTGACTATGTAAAAACGCATTTCTTTTTGGTATCTTGATCATGAGTAATTCTCATGTTTCATATTAGATATGTATAGCCTATCAATTGTACTTATTAACGAATAACGATCACCTACACGCTATTATGATGAGAGTTACTATAATTTAACTAACTTACACTCTCTTTGGATCATTGTTATATCGTATCGTTTTATAAATATAATGTTTGGATAGATCGTATTGTTTGTTATTGTTAAATAATATTTTGTTGTTCGGCTTAACTGTATGGTACTGTAGCGTAACTGATAAGTTGACTAAACTACGCTCAATTGTTTAAATATTAAATTTATCAAAATTTATGCATAAAAATAATTTAAAAAACAAAACAGAAGAAGGCAAAACACCTTAAGAAAGCAGAACAAAGGAGCGAGATAGAAGAAGGCAAAATAAAGGAGCACAACTAACTAGAATTGAGTTAAAAGTAAATCAGATAAAGGAGCAAGACAGAAGAGGGCAAAACAAAGGAGCACAACTAATTAGAATTGAGTTAAAAGCAAATTAGGAGAAAAAATAAAACAGAAGGCGGCAAAACACCTTTAACGTTGACGGCAGAAGTTCTGAAAAAAAACAAAGTAGGTCATAGGTTGAAGATTTGGAGTTAAAATAGAAAAAAAAGGTAAAGGGTAAAATAAAATTGTGGAGTAATAAGTTAAGGCGTAATTGAAAAGAGAAATAGCAAACAATCCCACCACACCAAATTGGTTGTTTCAAAAAAAAGGACTTTTCATTGTTCCGAAACAATGGATTTAACAATACAATACAATCAATTTTAATGAAACAATCAAAACAAACATTATTTTGAGATAACAATGCAATACGATACAACGTGGAACAACCATCCAAACAAGCTGTTAAGCTAAATATCATAGTATAAAGCTACACAAGTTAAACGCATAAAAAAAGGATATACTGCTATTTTAGTTTAAATGAAATTGAATCAAAGCCAGTGAAAAATTCGGGATTTGGAATAAGTGGATTATGTTCTTCACATGCATATTTATATTTCTTTTCTCACACACACACATGGTCCAAATTAGACTTTGAACCCACTATGTCTACTCTAGATCACCATTGATCAAAGCCAATGTTGAAATTGAGAAAGGTTAATTTTGCAAGCCGAAGAATCTATGCAAACCCCATTGGAGTTGAGGGGCGTTAAACGTCTAATACTAATAATACAGTCTTATGTGAAAAATTGTTTCATGATCTAAGTTTTTTCTTTAATTATCGTTTCATTGGCTTCTGTAATTTAATGGTCCAAAATAAGTGATGTTTTCAAATTTCAAGAGTGAATTAATTATTTTTTTCCTACATTGTCCTTGGAGTAAATAGTGTTGGAATATGTGTTAGGAGTGTTTATATGAAATAGTAAAGGTTAATATGGTCAATTCCATTGCTAATTAATGCTAAAAGGTGGATTTCTTAATCTGTGTGAAAACATCCAAAAAATCACTTATTTTGGACAGGAGGAAGTATAAAAGGTACTCCCTCCAATCCGCAATAAGTGACAATTTTATATTTGGCACATCAAGGAAATACGAATTTCCAGAAGAAAAAAAAAGCATATTCACTGAATAAATCTTATTTAATTGATACCTTGACACAATGGAATATGTAAAAAAGGGTAAGTTTTTAAACAATAATATTAAATTCTTCTTGATTATATAAATGAACACTTATTTTGGACCAAAATAAAAAAATAAAATGATCACTTATTGTGAATTGGAGGGAGTAGTATTTAAACAACTATGTATACTTTGAAAACTGCTTAAATATTGGTTGTCAAAATACTTAAATTTTTACTCAAAAATACTCGAAGAACCTTCCAACTAGATGATGTTGTACACTGGAACACTACCATAGTTCAAAGTTCAAACGAACCCAGTAAAAGCTCTGGCCAACATAGGAAGAAAACAAATAATAGTTAAATAGCATATACAATGCTCATACTATTTGTAACTTATTAATTGTTCAGCTAGAAAGTCACAAGAACTAATAGAAAAAAATCTTGAGTTGCCGCTATAAAAACTGAACTATGTTTGACCCAATTCCTGAATAGTCTTTGACCTAACTGATGTGGCCTACTTGGGAAGAATTGATCGTTCTATGTTTATCAACTTGCTTTCACCCTCACAAGGTGACCCCCAACTAGCAAATTTTGGGGGTACATCCAGCTACTGAATCCAATAGTCCATTTAGCTGAACTTTTGGTAGAATGCAAATGATACAACAGGGCAGGTGTGATGTCTCCCTAGATGCAGTTAAAAGGCAAAAGATGACAAGTCAGTAGAAATTAAATTATCTTCCTCGCAGATTTTTTGCGTCTTTCCCAGTTGAGCACTTAAATCTGATTGGGAGTCAGAAAACTGAAATACTCTTCAGATGACTCAGTTCAAGTAAAAGAAGAATAACAAGGAACCAACAAGCTTCCCACAGACGATATTATCATCTTCGGAGTTTCAACCTTATCTTTATACAAATGTCCGACTAGAAATGAATATCTTAACATGGGAACCAAAATATATCCAAATGTATTGAACTGCGATTCTGCTTAACTAATAATCTTCAGACCTCATCATCAGCCGTGTAGTAGCACCCCACATTCTTATCCTGCGAAATACCACCACACGATATACTTAGTTAGATAGACATGACTGGCCATAAAATTATGACAAAATATTGTTTCTGAGTTCGAGATTCATTCTTTAGCCACGAACCCAGATGGAACTCAAAGCTAATAAGAGAATCTTCGATGCGACACTAATTCCCAAACTCATACTATTCCATAAGATGGCAGAATCAACTAAAGAAATTTAAACTGAGGAGAACCCATCTGTCAGACGTGAGACATAGGAACGGAGTGAAGTTCAGATATCTACTCACCAGCAGTACGACACGACATCATGGGCACTGTAAATTGACCCGACTTAAGAAGAAGGATTTTACTTGCCTGGGCTAACATCCTTTGCTTGTTTCGAAATTGAGTTCTGGCCTTGTCAGCGACCGAGTTTGGTGACTTGTACAGCCTCTGATAAGGAGGAGCATTATCATATCATAAATGGTCAGTCAAATTAATATTAGGACCCAATAAACAAGGACAAACACTTATTTTTGTTTTTTCCTGGAGACCTGACGGAAGAAATAAATCTATCCAGCAATACAAATATACACGAAGAGGAATGTCAACTTAAGGAGATCAAGGCATCTTCAGTACCAGCTCAGTGTAAGAGCAACAACCAAGCAGAAGCAATGACAGTTATATGAACTGGTGCAAACAAGAAGGGATTAACAACTATGAACTTGTACTAGATTCTATGGTGGTGACTAATACGCTGAACAACAAATTGACAAAGACACAAATACCTCAAGCTGAAAAGGATCATCAGAGACATTGTCCAGATTATATGTGGCGCAGATGTAAAGGTTTCTCACTGTTACAGGGAAGCCAACCAAGAGGCTGACTTCTTAGCCAAACAAGCTTCTTCCAGTGGAAATGGTACCTTCTACTAGTCTTTTCAACAGCTCCCTAAAGAGGTATTTATTTCTACTAGATAGAATATACGTAGCATAAGAAGAAGATTTGACAAGTGTAACTTCTTTGTTAGTTGAGAACTTTCTTGCTTAACATGAAAGGAATTGTATAAGCTGGTCCTTTCATTATTTTTTGAAGGTTAAAGTACTCAATCTTACATGTTTTTTGGAGGTTAGGTCCTCGTGCCCCTCTGCTTTCTGTAATTTATTTTGCATCAATTGACGTGGTACAGATAATGCCTATACCCCCACACTAGGCACACAGCCCTGAAGGTGATGGCTTAATTTTTTTTTTTTTTAAAATAATTAAAGTGATCTCTGCACATCCACACACTACATATCCATAAAATAAAGTGCTTTTAGAAGCACAGAGGCACCTTTTCTGTTCCGGATACACGATGCTCAACACCCGAAAGCAATTTTCTCTTTGGTGTGAAACCAAAGACATCATGAAGAAATTCATTTTCCTGCACAGTGGACAGGAATATAGATTATAAGAACTAGAAAATCAAAACCAACAGCCCAAAAACTCAAGTGATTGGTAAGCAAAATAAACCTGCATGTGCTTCACAAAACCTCCTCCAAGGAAGTGCTTTAGGAAGTTTAACTGTTCAACAAATTACACATAATTTCAGCAGATAAGCAGCTACCCATTTGCTATAAGACTGACAAGGATGACAAGGACCTGTATCAGTTGACGCCAGGTACTTGTGGTAAGCAACTCCCCACCAATCTTTCTTGAGCTCTCTGGAGTATATCCATCCTAGTACCGATTGTAAGGAAGTTACTAGAGCCAGTAGCTACAATCGCAGAGCAATAACTTGAAAACAGAGTAGTACCTCAAGGAATTCCAAGATATCTCGAAATGTGTTTCTTTGGCTGTTGAGGTCCTTCTTGGCTGATCCTTTGCCTCCTGCCTCTACTGAAAGGCTTCTCATCTGGTTCAGGACCTTCGCTCTTAATCCTTGGATATGCAAAATAAGCTTAGATTTGTTTGCTTCATCTGTGGAGCTGTCACTAGATCCTTTATCTTCAACAGAGAACTTCTCAAGACTCCCGACTTCGAAAACTAAAGCAAGTGCTTCGCCAGCTGCAATACGTACAGCTCTGTCATCTTTGTCCAGCAGAGTTGAAAAGTAAGAGATTGACCTGCATCATGGGAAGGTGCACACTCCAATTGTCATACACTCACCAAATACAAACCCTGCATCCCATTCTAATCTTCATCCAAATATACCACACGAATATTATGTCCATGATGGGATGTTACAAGTATAACTTTTCTCTCTTCTTTTTTTCCTTTTATTGGTTTTTTTTTTTATTTTCCTTTCTGGGAGGGGTAGGTCTGGAGTTCGGGCACATACTAACCCTTGCCAGCTTTTTGGGTTTAGCGCCCGTCCATCAATGGTAGTAAGGAGGAAAGACCATGCAGATACCGTTGCTGTTATCATTGGTGGTGAAGGTTTAGCAGTAGCTACCTGATCAAGGAACCAGACACAGTTGTCAATGAAATAAGTAACGTAACAGAAGTCATGTAAGCAAAAACAAAATACTCATAGGGAACGAGGATTGGAATGTCTGTTACAACATACCATCCACATGACAGCAGCAAGACCAAACCTTAAAAAGTGAAACGAACAGAAATATTGACAGACAGGGATCAAGGATCGGCATTAACATCACAATATACATCCACATAAAAGCAACAAAACCAAGCTTCTAAAATCGTCTCCCCGCTGAAAATAAACATATAAACATGAGGTACATACATTAGGACCAACTTTTGGATGAATGACTTGCCACATCAATTGCATTGACTTCTCTGTTTCCTCTGCCTCTTTGCCTCCAACAAAAGTGATAATGGCCAAAGACTCCAGTAGCTGAAATCACCCAAAAAAAAAAAAGAGTCAGCATCAAGCTTGAATGCAAAGCAATAACAATACTTAAATAAGCATCCTCCAGCAACAAACACACCGAAGAAATCTTAGATGTCTCAGAACGAGATTTAAGAGCTTCTGTAATCGGAGACAATGATTCTTCCAACATTTCATGTGCTTTGTCCCCAGGACCAACAGTTAAAGCCAAAATTCCTAATCACAGACGAAGACACAAGTCAAATTTAGGCATCAACTTGAAGGATAACTATCTGAACCCCACAGCTCATCAATATGCAGAGTTAGAAGATTGCTGACCAAGAAAATGAGATGCCAAAGCTATCTCCTTGGAGGATCCCCGTTTAATGGAATTCAGACATTGTTGCAACAAAGTGGCAAACCTGCATGATAAAACATAACAGTGGAAGAGCACAACAAGAAGTTACAGCAATCTGAGAAGTCAAAACATAATAGAACAAAGCTGAAGATTTGACCATAAATATTTAAAACCATAAAACAATAATTGGCAGGAAGCATAAAGACCTAAAAGAAACAAAATGTCAGTAATATTGGCAAGTGCTATAAATACTTCATTGGACTCCGGAGGTAGAAAAAAAAGAGCGAAATCTTCTACTAAATATTCCGTGCGTTTTCTACTATCAGATATATTGATTGCTGCATAATCAATGAAAATGCGATCATTTGAATTTGACAATCATCATTATGCAAAAGACTACCCACATGGCTCATGAAATTTTAACCAAAAAAAGAAAAAATTAGAATTAGAAAAATTGTCAAAAGTTACAGATTAATAACAGCCACGTAATTATTTTTTTTGGTAAGCAACCGCTATACAGTAAAAAGTAATTCCTAAAAGCAAGCAGTCCATCCATATGAACTTTGAAGTCAAAAAATAAAAGCTGGAGAACTGACAGATGAGCATAACACGAGTTCCCTTACTTCTTTTCAACAAACTCATGTTGTATGTCGCTATTGAAGGCTTCTATAATAGACGCAAGAGCGTTCTCTCTTGTTGATCCCCTACATAGCCAACAAACAATAATTTATATCAGTCACATCCTTTGACAGAAGCAAAATGCAGTACCATATACAAGCCATCTATCAACTGGAGCTAGTGAGCAAAATAAAAAACTTAGTTATTACATGTGCTCTGTAGCCCAATTTGCTTTAGAAAAGTGCTTTTCCAAAAATTGAAACTATAGACATGTGGATTAACAAGCAAATTAAGTTACCGGAATCACTGAACATGTGAATGCAAAAGATTCTGTAGAAAAAGGAATCTTAGTGATTCACTGGATGTGATGCCGGAACATCTTGGTGATCTTTTCTACCTAACGAATGGGGAATTCGCTTTAAAATCGTCCCGCACTACACCACCCCAAGTATATGCTTCCAAGGAATCACACAAGCGTACATTAGAAACCTCAGGTAAGATGCCGCCCGTAAACTAGCAAATAAAGTACATCATATAGTCCAGTGATTGATGAATTAACCATTCACTGGCATTCAGTTTCTAGCATCCAGAATTCAAACCAAAATATCTTTTGACAACTAAAGCAAACCAAAACCATGTTTATTAGCTTTTCCACCCCAAAAAATAAGATCAACAATCTTCCTTTTAATTTTCACGTATTTATCTTTTCAATGTGATTTCTTTTACCTATGTGTTTTTCAAAGATATATGATTACTTACCTTTTAGTACTTTCATATTAATTTATCTCAAAATTTAAAATTAATCTAATGCAAGTCTTACTTAGGAATATAGCTATATCTTATCAAATGTAGCTAGAACTAATAAATGTAAGTTTGGATGATTGTTTTACAAAGTTCATTCTCCAAAAGTGATGGTTTGCAATAATATTTTATTTTTATTTTCTTTGATAAATCAATCAAATCCAAACACAAATCATAAAAAGCTTCTCCTAAGAACATTCCCCCAAGCTTACCTCAGTTTATATTGAACCTTCTAAAAGCTGGTACCAAAAAAAAAACAATGTCAAAGAAAGAAAGAACATTTCCAAGGAAAACTCTACGATCCACTTAGTTTTACCAAAAGCTAGTAGCCCTCTGTACCATTTCTATTTCATATAAAGAAGTTTAACCAGACTTAGATTTTAAAATGCCAATTTGACAAATATTTACCATATTGGTAGTAGCTATGATAATAAAACAACTTTGAAACTTAAAAACAAAAACACCCCCCAGGTATTTGACTATATATGGAAGTTAATAGGTTAATTTAGCTTATATACATTATATGAACACGAGAAGAAAATATTATAACAAGGGTTGAAAATTAAATGTAATAAATAAAACATCAGATCAAAATTTAAATCTACATAGTTGAATTAATTCAAACAATTTTAAAGCTGTTAAAATTATGTACATGCAACCTTATATTTGATGGTCCATTTTATTTATTCACCATGCAATATTAATCCATTTTTTGGTACAATGATGACATGACTTGAATTTATTACTTATTCGGGACTGGAGCACAGTTGTTTTAACGTGCAACATTAAAATATTATGTAGCGTAACGCATTGGAAAAAACCTTTTCTCATAGAGGGCATCGACGCATTGATCAAGCAAAGTCTCCTTGTCAACTTGAACCTCCTCTATACCACCTGACACTATCATATTTGACCGAGAATTTGACGATGAACTCACGTTATCTGCGTCATCACTATCCAACATCACCGCCTTCTTCCTCTGCGAACTCTCTGCCAAAAAAAAAAGGAACAGAGAAAATTAGGTTGTCTTATTTTGACAGAATTAGAATTAAACAATTGAAGATCAATTTTAATTAGTCGAATTACAAGTCTGAGTTCACTAATTAGAAGCAGAACTTACTTCTTCCCATGGTGACAGCTCCCGTAAATTAAGGTCAGAAGCAAAACCGGAGTTGACTAAAAGTCAAAAGATGAAAATCAACTGAGGGAAAGATATCAAAGGGCAGAAATTGATTTAGAGAAACAGATGAACTGCACTTGTTTGAATGGAGGACCAGCGTATCCATAAAGAAACTTTTGGGGAGGGAATTGAAGTTTCTCAGATTGTTAAAAGGTGTTTTTGAAGAGGAAAGGGAGTCTGGACGAGAAGCTTTGGCATTTATATGTGAAATTTTACAAGAGAGAAGAAGAGGCATTTTGGTTTCGGTGAGCTTGGAATATTCGGGATTATGTGGAAGGGTGTCGGGAGTTGATGCGGTAGGTTGGATAACGTGGAGCGATGAGGACCGATTAGCATCCAAAATACTTTTTAAAAGGCAGAATAGCTTGACAAACACCTATAATTATTTGTGTTTGACGTCCCGATTCCTATATTCAACTAAGTTTTATTCAGATACCCGAATGAAATTAAAAGTACAGTGTAAAAAGGAGAAGAATTTTCCTTTAGGGGAGCTAAATATACAGATCTGTACGCGACTAAAATCGGAAGTACCAATTTCACGATCGGCAAGGCATTACGTAATTTCACCTCGAAGGGCCCGGCGGGCAGCTCGAGGTTCGAACTCTTCGAGAGTCCTTCATGCCCGGTGTCGGGGCAGAGCAAACCGGTGGTTATCATAAGTTAGCGGGAAGTTCCCTAGGAGCAGTATTTTCCTGACAATGCCTGCACCAACAGTGACAGCCTGCACCAGGCTGATTGAGTGGTTGTACCGGCTACATTATGTAATAATTACACATATTGTATACGGTAAAAATCAGAGGGCTCGATTTTATGATCGCTGAGGGCGCCTCAAAAAGGACTGCCCCCGGAAAGCTCGAAATCTGGCTCGAAGTTCACCCCCGAGGGTTCGTAATGATCGACCTCGAGGCAGTGCAAACCAACAGCTACGACGCATTAGCGGGAAGTTCCCAAGGCATATGATCAAAGCTGACAAAACCTGCAAGGGAAACACTAGTCTGTGCCAGACTAGTAAGTAGCTGTGCTGGCTATATTTCTTTGTAATAATTACTCATGTATTATATTGGAATTTCCCTCCATATATAAGGGGGATCCTTGTCCTTTTGCAGAAGATCCGATACTCAAGATACAACACACTACATTCAATACAAAAACATTCTCTACTCTCTAGCTTGAACATATTCTCTTGGTTTCTTTATTTACGTTTATTGCTTATATTCATTGTGTTCTATTAATTGTTCATCATTTATTGCTCATTATTGGTCATAAAGAGTCGCAATCACAGCTCTCATAACTGTTAATCCTTCATCGACTGCCCTTAACCAGGCATCAGATTCGACCTCGAGGCCCCGTATATGCAAGCTCGAGGCTTCGATTCCCAGCCATTTCGGTTTGATTATTAAGCTATCTACAAGCTATCGTCTTAATTTCCAATCCTTTGCTTAGCATCTATTGCCTAACAACTAGCATAAAAATAGATCACATATTTTTAGAACCACAAAATCAAATCTAATTGTTATTACCATTTTCAAGGTAAACAGTTTTTTCGCCTACCGTGGGGCTAAAAATAATAGTGATTGTTTTCTTGCTGGTTTACTACATAACGTAAGTTAACTTTCACGCTTTTTCTTGTCCAAGATCTTTGATTTCAGGTCAAAATGTCTAGCTCAATAAACGCATGTGAAAACAACAATCTTGAGGACCATGGAGAAAATGGTGTAGCTGTTCCAGGTGTTGGTGTACCACCACAGAACCTTGGGGATGCGTAAGAACCAACTCCCGTCGATACGGTCTCACGCAACACTCAACACATTGGCGTAAGTTCCCACACCAACAGGAGTATACGCCAACAAAATCAACAAGACACTCGGAAAAACCTCACCCGGAGAGAAAAAGAGGCAAACAGGGGAAGCAAAGAGGGAAAACCTCAGCACAGCGTTCATATGATTATTGGGGGGACTGACGTTCCCCAGGGGCCCGTGACCAAGCGGATAAAGGTTTCTGCGGCAACCCAAGGGCAAACCCGGGCCCGCGCATCTGAGGACATCCTCGCATTCAGCAAAGAAGACTTCGAAACTCTGTCTCATCCACACAATAACGCGCTGGTAATCTCGTTTCTCTTAAATAACATCCAAATTAAACGTGTGCTCGTGGACCCAGGTAGCTCGGCCAACGTAATTAGATTGACGGTGGTAGAACAGCTCGGATTACTCGATCAGGTCATGCCTACCTCCCGAATCCTCAACGGCTTCAATATGGCCGGCGAAGCGACAGAAGGAGAGATCACCCTCCTGGTAAATATATCTGATGCAGTTCAAGATACCAGATTCCACGTCATTAAAGGTGACGCAAGGTACAATGCCTTGCTTGGTAGGCCATGGATACATAACATGAAGCGCTACCATCGACCTTGCATCAGATGATGAAGTTTCCAACGAAGGACGGAATAAAGACAGTGTATGGCGAGCAACATGCGGCGAAGGAAATGTTCGTGGTCCATGAGGAGGTACCGGATCCCATACACTCCACCTCGGAAGAGTTGGAAAGCCAACAAACCCCCTAGGATGATGAAGAGGACTTCCTCACCCCAGAGCCTTCATTGCCCCGAAGAATCGGACGCAAAAAAGTCGACTGGGGAAGAACTGGAGTAGGCTGTATTAGTCGAGCATCTCCTAGATCGGAAGGTATACCTGGGGACGGGATTAACCCCCAAACTCAGGAAAAAACTCATTTTATTCCTTATAAATAACATCGATTGCTTTGCTTGGTCCCATTTAGACATGAAAGGGGTCCCACCGGAGATAACCACCCATCGACTAAGTGTCGATCCCAGGTACAAACTGGTGAAGCAAAAAAGAAGACCTCAGTCCGAGATAAAACATGCATTCATCAAAGACGAGGTCACGAAGCTCCTCAAGATAGGGTAAATTAGGGAAGTAAAATATCCCGAATGGCTGGCCAATGTGGTGGTAGTTCCCAAAATGGGGAATAAACTAAGAATGTGCGTAGATTATAAAGATTTAAATAGGGCGTGCCCAAAGGACTCGTTCCCACTGCCCAACATCGACCGTTTGATCGATGCCACGACCGGCCATGAAACCCTCACTTTTCTCGATGCCTATTTGGGGTATAATCAAATTCAGATGAACCCCAAGGATAGAGAAAAGACTTCGTTCATCACAAAGTACGGTACGTACTGCTACAATGTAATGCCCTTCGGGCTAAAAAATGCAGGGGCCACATACCAACGCCTAGTTAATAAGATGTTATAACATCAAATAGGCAAGTCCATGGAAATTTATATTGACGACATGCTAGTTAAGTCCCTGTGCGCAGAGGACCATTTGACTCATTTGCAGGAAACGTTCGACATCCTCAGAAGTTAAAACATGAAGCTCAACCCTGAGAAGTGCGCCTTCGGGGTAGGATCGGGAAAATTCTTAGGCTTCATGGTATCAAACAGAGGAATCGAGATCAACCCCGACAAAATCAAAGCCATCGAAGAAATTACGGTGGTAAATAACGTAAAGGTCATGCAGCGGCTGACGGGGTGGATACCAGCCTTGGGTAGGTTCATATCAAGGTCATCAGACAGGAGTCACCATTTCTTCTCCTTTCTCAAAAAGAAAAACAACTTTAAATGGACTCCGGAATGCCAATGCGCCTTAGAGGAGTTGAAGCGATACCTGACAAGCCCGCCTTTGCTCCACACCCCAAAAGAGGGTGAATGTATTTGTACCTGGCCGTATCCGAGATAGCGGTAAGTGGTGTACTGGTTCGAGATGAACAAGGTATGCAATTCCCTGTTTACTATATAAGTCGGACCCTGGGTGATGCTGAAACCAGATATCCGCACCTGGGAAAGCTAGCTCTTGCATTAATAAGTGCGTCTCGAAAATTGTAAACTTACTTCCAATGTCATCATATTTGCGTTTTAACAACGTATCTCCTTCGAAACATACTGCATAAACCCGAATTATCGGGCCGACAAGCCAAATGGGCCATCGAACTCGGGGGATATGATATCGAGTATCAGCCCCGAAGAGCTATCAAGTCTCAAATTTTGGCAGACTTTGTAGACGACTTCACTCCCCCCCTTGTAACCGAGGTCGAGAAAGAACTTTTGCTGAAAAAGGGCACATCTTCCGGGGTATGGACCCTGTTCACTGACGGCACCTCGAACGTGAGAGGATCCGGGCTCGGCATAGTTCTAAAGCCACATACGGGTGGCGTCATTAGACAATCTATAAAAACCGCAAGGTTAACTAACAATGAAGCCGAGTATGAGGCTATGATTGCAGGTCTAGAATTGGCCAAAGGCCTAGAAGCTGAAGTCATTGAAGCAAAATGCGATTCCCTCCTGGTGGTAAATCAGGTAAATGGGAGTTTCGAGGTTCGGGAAGACAGGATGCAAAGATACTTAGACAAAATTCAAGTCAGATTGCACCGCTTCAAAGAATGGACTCTGTTCCACATACCTCGAGAGAAAAACAGCGAAGCCGATGCCCTCGCAAACCTGGGATCGTCTGTCGAGGAAGATGACATGCTCCCCGGATCTGTGGTTCAACTATCCAAATTGGTGATCGAGGAAGGCCATGCCGAGATCAACTCCACTAGCCTAACATGGGATTGGAGAAACAAATATATCGATTATTTGGAGAGCGGGAAGCTACCCGCAGACCCAAAGGAGTCGAGGGACCTGCGAACCAAAGCGGCCCGATTCTCGATCAATGAAAACATACTCTTTACAGAAGAACTTTTGATGCCCCCTAGCAGTATGTTTGTGGCCAAGAGACACAGACTATGTGCTCCGAGAGATCCACGAGGGCACCTGCGGAAACCACTCTAGTGCCGATTCCTTGGTTCGAAAAATAATTAGGGCAGGCTACTATTGGGACAGCATGGAAAAGGACACCAAAGAGTTCGTCCGCAAGTGCGACAAATGCCAAAGATTTGCCCCAATGATTCACCAACCTGGTGAACAACTACATTCAGTTTTGTCGCCATGGCCGTTCATGAAATGGGGGATGGACATCATCGGACCTCTACCAACGGCGCCAGGTAAAGCTAGATTTATTTTATTTATGACTGACTACTTCTCGAAATGGGTTGAAGCGCAGGCCTTCAAAAAAATAAGAGAAAAAGAAGTCATTAATTTCATCTGGGACCACATCATGTGCCAATTTGGAATTCCTTTCGAGATAACGTGCGATAACGGGAAGCAATTCATCGGAAGCAAAGTGACTCGGTTCCTCGAGGACCAC